CGTTGACAGCTCAAACAACAAGCCGTCCAACTCCCGTACACATGGTACACCCGGACCCAGCTCGGAGTTGACCCCGCCACGTGTGGATCGCTTGCCGAAATTTGAAGAGATGAGTGAGGATTCGGACGCCACATGGCGACTCATCACCTCCACCAAACCCACAGCGAAGAAGAGAGTCCTGTTTGTCGGAAATCTGATGCATGCAATTACTGCAGACCAGCTGAAGGAGTTCATCGCAGCAAGAGCAGCTGAGGCTGACCACAATGTCCAAGTGTTTGACGTAAAAATATTTCAAAAAGAAAAATCCTCCACTGCGCGTATTGTTGCCAGTGCAGCGGACGAATCGTTTCTCAGCAACAAGCGCTTCTGGCCAAGGCCTGTGTACACAAGAGAGTGGAACTTCGATAAGTACACCCAGTCTGATGCCAGTGGAGATCAACAAACAGCGCAGAGCAGCACCACGACCACCAACAGCAGCAGCAGCCGAACGGACGACAGTAAGAGCGGACACGGCGTGGATTGCGATATCCTAGATGACACCTGTGGAGCACCGGCCCGGACTCCAGGCCAGAAATCACGGGGCTATCAGCGTGACTCGCCGCCCGAGACGCAAGCTGCGAAGTTTAGTGTCACTGTTGGCAACGCATTTGCATCTCTAAGTCAGGATGTGGATAATATATCTGTGCAATGACTGGAAGAAGATTAGGCAACGACCCTGCTGCTCATGAACTGAATATGCAAACGCAAACTCCAACAATTCGAATTTTACTGCTGAACATTAGGAGCCTAAGGAACAAAGTTGGAGAGCTGGCATGGCTTGCCGACCTTCACAGTCCTGACATCATCTGTGTCAACGAGACCTGGCTAGACGACACCGTGTCTGATGGAGAGATAGCTTTGGATGGCTTCAACATACTGCGCTCAGACAGAAAAGATCAGGCCGGTGGAGGAGTCTGCCTGTACTCCAAGGCATCCCTCCTGGTCAAGCCAAGAATGGACCTCACAGAATCGGCAATTGAGAGCTGCTGGGGAGAAATCCATTGCCAATCTGGAACTTGTTTGATAGGAACCATTTATCGACCTCCATCTGAGCCAGTTCGATACTGGGACTGCCTGGACAACCATCTCCATTCAGCTATAATGCCCGGGAAGAACGTGATTATTTGTGGCGACATCAACATAAACACCAATCCAACAGCACCTCCAGATCCACAGCTTCATTATCTATCTGACCTCGTGGCCAGCTACAGTTTATATCCCGGAGTTCACCAGCCGACTCAGTTCTCAGCAAACTCTGCACCAACCACACTGGATCAATTTTACAATACATTCGACCCTCTAAATATGGCTACTGTTATCCCATCGCGTTCAGTGACCATGCAGCAGTTCTCAGTGAATTTCAACTCAGCCCAGTAAGAAGTACTGTAACTTCTGGGCTACGGCGACACTACCGAAACATAAATCATGACCAGTTCAAGGCAGATTTGGTCCAACAGGATTTTTGTGAAATTGACGGAAGCCCAACTGTCATGTGGACTGAGTGGGCCAGCCGCTTTCTACAAGTGTTAGACAGACATGCTCCTCTTGCACCAAGCCCTCGACGCAAGAAAAAATCAGTACCATGGATGAACCGCCAGTTATTACACCTCTTGACCAAGCGCAACCGGCTCCATAGGAGGTGGCTTAGTGATGGAACAGAACATTCCCACTCAGCTTTCAAGGCTGCCAGGCGGGAAGCTACCAGCTATAATAGGCAACAGAAAGAGACCTACTACCAATCCAAGTTTCGAGCTGCGTCTGGCAATACCAAACAGACATGGCACACGATCAAAGAATTGAGTGGTAAACATCGACAATCTCAGCCACCTCAATGTTCTGTTGATGCCATCCGAAACACCTTTGCAGAGATAGTAGAGGACGCCAGCCGCCCAGTGCATCTCTCATTTCCCTACGGGCCCGCCTCAAGCACTGATCTGACAGCCTTTGCGCCAGTGTCTATTGCCAGAGTGAGGAAGCTCCTCGAACGTTTAAATCCGGCCAAGTCCAGCGGTGATGATGACATTTCTGCAGCCCTTCTCCGCGCACATGCAGACGTACTGGCGCCATCCCTGACCTTGATCTTTAACAAGTCCCTGAGAGAGGGCATACTTCCTGCCCAGATGAAAAGTGCTAGGATATCGCCACTCTTCAAAGGCGGAGATCCGAGCATGCCAAAGAATCATCGACCAGTGTCCTTGTTATCGATTGCATCCAAAGTGTTGGAAAGGATAGTCCACGAGCAACTCACACGATATCTAGTTCAGAGCAATTTATTCCCGCCAACTCAATTCGGCTACAGATCCCACCACTCTACATCCGACGCACTAGTGCTAGCTGTGGAAGGTATCTGTGAGGCCCGCATGAACAGACTCAACACAGGTGTAGCCTTTGTTGATATGTCAAAGGCATTCGATAAAGTGAAACATCAAACTCTTGTGCAAGATCTGTTCGAACTTGGCATCTGCGACACGGCACTCTGTTGGCTGGTGGATTACCTCTCTGATAGAGAACAGTACGTTCAGGTTGGCCAGACTAGAAGTCTCCCGTACACCAGTTACTCAGGTGTCCCCCAGGGGTCGGTACTGGGCCCACTGCTATTTATTGTCTATGCCCGCGGCATAGCAGAAGAACTATCACCGTTTAATGTGGGAGCAATCCAGTTTGCTGATGACATCTCTATACGATGTAGCAGGGAGTCTGCGGAAGCTGTTTCTGCACACCTTTCAGCTGCTGTTCAGCACCTGGCCACCTGGCTGAAGGGCCGTGGTTTAATTCTTAATGAAAGAAAGACACAGATATTGCCTATTCCCCCATCCCCATCTCAAGCACTTGAGCTGCATGTCATTTGTAATGGGCAGACGCTGCCTGTTGTGAAAACGGCCCAAGTATCTTGGCCTACATTTCGACTCAGACATGAGCTGGAACACCATGACAAGCCATGTTGCACGCCGCGTTGCCGCTAAGATTGGGCTACTAAATCGAAGTGCAGCATGTTTGCCTTTTTCTTGCCGTGTTCAGTTTTTCAGGTCCTTTATACTATCAGAATTTGACTATGCATCTGCTGCCTATGCCCCTTTCTTATCGTCTTATCAGGATAAGCGCCTAAATAGTTTGTTCAAACGTGCGGCTCGCTCGGTGTGCAGGGCAGCCCCTCGCACTCACACGGCTCCCTTACTTGAACGCATGAATGCCCATACCCTCAGCATATACACCCACATGCACATCCTTGTATTCATTTGGCGCTGCCTGAACAAATCTTCAAGTACTCTGTTTGCAAGCTTTTTCACCCGTAGTCCCTCTCTCCGAACACGAGGAGGGAACAGCAAGTTACTCATCATTCCTGTCTCCCCCACTGCATCCTCAGCTAAGCGCATTAGCCATGCTGGAGCTATCCTGTGGAACCAGCTCCCAGACACAGCACGCCTCGAAAGAAAGCGCTCCACTTTCAAATCGCTAAGCCTGGCCTTTCTGTTAGGCAGTACCGTCAACTAGGATGAACTCATCTGCTTCACTACCTCTCTCTCTCTCTCTCTCTCTCTCTCTCTCTCTCTCTCTCTCTCTCTCTCTCTCTCTCTCTCTCTCTCTCTCTCTCTCTCTCTCTCTCTCTCTCTCTCTCTCTCTCTCTCTCTCTCTCTCTCTCTCTCTCTCTCTCTCTCTCTCTCTCTCTCTCTCTCTCTCTCTCTCTCTCTCTCACTCACTCACTCCTTTCTTCCCGGTTGCCGTGCTTGTGACTTTTTTTCCCCTGCTGCCGTGCTCATATTAGTTATCTAACTACAGCTGTATCTTCTTCTTGGTTCTGTTTGTCCGCTTATTATTATATTTTCTTTTCTCTTATTATCAGTGGGACCATTGTCATTAGGTTTAGGCCTGTTTTGGAACTCCACTTTAAATAAAGCCAAACAACAACAACAACAACAACAACAACAACGGCCGCCCCACACCCCGCTGGCAGCAACATCTAGGCGGGCGCCATCCTCGCTGATTGCAGTACGATCAATGACCTCATCCGTTCCCCGGAAAGTGGCTGGAGCCGGAGAGACGGCTCCACACGCGTCATGTGCGACGCGTGAAATTTCGAAAGCAGTGAGGCGGTGATGTCTCGCAGCTCGTTATGCCGGAGTGACGGATACACACGTGGCTTTTAGCCGTAGTTCGCATGTGGTGATCCCAAACCGCGGGAATCTCCAAGTAATTTCAACCACCTCTGAAGCTTGGAGAGCTTTGGAGAGCCTCCTAAAAGTGGGAGAGGAGAACAGCTCTCGAACTTTTCGGAGAGTCTCCAACTTTTCCGAGAGGATTTTTATAACGCACCACTGAAACGAGCCAAAAACCAGTACGTGAGTAGGACCTTGTGACGTACATTTTTTCAAATGTTTCTCAACTGACTGGCTCCAGGCTCCATTGTAAAGTCTTTCGGAGAATGATTGTTTTGACATGGACCTCGCGAACAAGGTACGTGTACACCATCTTGCTGCACCCATCCATATCCAACCGGATATGTGGGTGTCATGGGGCTTCTTTCCCTTTCGCTCGGGTAAAAGTCAAACTGAGACATCGATCTACGAGTCGAGTTCCGCGGTTTTCGTCATGTCACCACATATATGGAAGGAAAGTTGTATATATACAACTCCGGCCCTGCATGGACGTCTTGTAACACACTCGTACTCGTACTCCGTAGATCTACTCGTAGATCTATTCGTCTCTCGAGCTCTCTCTACATCTCTCTCTGTCCCAAGTACTAGTACCAAGCAGGGAGTCGTAAAATAACGGTATTTTACGACTCCCTGGTACCAAGAGTACATAACCCCTCCCCGGATCCCCCCCCCCGGGGGTTATGTACTCTTGCTAGTACTAGGCCCTGACTCCCCGAGTCCCTGCCTCCCCAGCTGGCCCAGCCCAGCTACTTTCACGTTTCAGTTCACCCCTGTTTTCATGATGTCAGTGATGATAATATATGACGCAGCTTGGCAGTCGCAGTCGTCTGCAGCCTAGCACTTTAGAAGTAGGACAAGAAAAGATCGGAGAGAGGAGTGAGAGCTTCATCTAGAAGTACCGGTATTCGTAGAGTTTCATGTTTCAAAATAATTTACCACTGGCCGTTCTCTTCCGGAATCTATGCTGGATACTTCCGAACTTTTGATGAGTAAATATGGACCATCATCAAACTCGATCTCGCTCATCTACGAATTTATCACAGTTTGGGTGAGTTGAGTGTTTCCTAAAATTATTGTCGCATGAGACACTATGGCTTGGGGAAAGGTGTGCTTGTACCTGCTGTGGCGAGACTAGTATAGTATGCTGTACTTATGAATTGTTGCTCGTGTTGTTGCACATCGTTACTGTCCAGCTGGTATCATGGTCGTCTAGATAGATCTGCAACTCTAACATTACTAGGGAAAACCCCTGTTGGAACATTCTTGGTTCGTGACAGCAGTTCTATTCCTGGAGACTATGTTATATCTGTGAGGTAAGCTCCCTCTTGTTGTCATGAGAGCTTAGGGCTGTGTTGGGCATCAAGAGTACATGAAAACAAAAGTGCACCTTCCATATGGGTGTTTGCCAAAGTGATATGCCTAGATGTTATAGGGGATTCACACACACGGGTAAAACCACGGTTATAGGAAAGTTGTTATGGAAACTACCGTAGTGACGCGCATATAAGAGCATGTGCCTATACCCGGGCATATGCGCACCCTCACAAATAAGCGCATGGGCTTATAAGTGAACCTAAATGCAGTCCATCCCTCGACAAACAGACACCACAAAAACACCATATTCACATAGTTCAATGCGCATTGCGGTATTGCACTATGTGCACAATTATGCATGGTACCGGTACACTAGCAACTCAAGCGCATGCGCCTATGTGTGAGACAAAACGACCCGCAAAAATAGCAAATACAGGTCGTCCCTCGTTAATACATAATCTCTGGGACTTGATAAATGTTATGTATTAACGGGGTTTATGTACTAAACGAAAGTGTACATAACTTGCTTATTATACCATAACTTGCTTGTGTAAAATAATTTTTCACTTTTTTCAACTTTTCTGGGTGTTTCTTGGTACCATGACTAGAGAGCGAAATAATCTTGATTCCCTCGATATAACATAAAAATTATGTTATAACGGTCACAGTCAGCGACGATTCTACAGTTTACATGATACATGCCCAGCCGCGCCTGTACAGTCACTCGGAAAACAACAGAGCTTTGTCGGTTTGTGATGTGCGCTCTGATTTCTGAACTAATTGCGTCCACAAGTAGAAACTAGAACACGATGTGCCTCCACTGGAACGCCAAAAGACCAACAAATTATGTACTATTGAGGTACTGTATAAGCAGAAATATTCGTCTGGAATTTAATTTCGTCTTTTTCGTCCAAGGAGCTTTTGGACTAAATTAAATGTAGGACGAATATCGATTTGTCCAGCGTTTCTATACACTCTTATGACCCATGGACGAAATTTTCAACCGGACGAACTCCTTTTCTTTGGAGTTGGACGAAATTATTGACCGACGAAATTTTCTGCCTCTACAGTAGGTGGCATGCGGATACGGAGAAATGTTATGTACTGACGGGGGTTATGTACTAACGAATTATGTACTAACCGACAACATTTGTATGGAAGTGACCACGTTTCGTCCGGGACTTGAGATTTCTTATGTAATAACGGGGTTTATGTACTAACCAGACTCGTATTAACGGGGGACGACCTGTAGCGCAAAAACTCACTCATGAGCGCATGGGCCTTTATGTGCGCCACTACGGTATGGTACTGGGGAAAGGAAGAACCTCTCGGGAAAAAATTGGCAAAGCCGTGGCCGTGGGCCTCAGGGCATTTGTCAAGGGAAAAATCCCATGGCTATACGACGCCCGTGTGTAGATCTTGTTTTTGGCGAGAACTCTGAACCCGTAGTTGTACGGGTGCATCGCAACCTGCATTTTCGGACAGTGCCCATTGGAAAATCGTGCATGGCGAATGCAAAACATAGTACAGAACATACTGCAAAAATGGAGTACAGATTATTTTTTTAATTGCCCCGCCCCAAATTCATGGCCAAACATGTGGCCAAGGGAAACTGACCACGGGTGTGAACGGCCCCACTCCGTTGACCGAAGGTCTGAACTTTTACCTTGTCCCGTGACCTCAGGTTTCCCCGTGAGTGTGAATCCCCTATTATCATAGCTGATGATGCAGCTGATGCCAGCAAGTCGCGGAGGGTGACGTTGTGCATGCAACCCAGCTGCAGTTGTGCAATAGGAGGCCTGCCTGCATCCTGCTTGTACGCAGTGCACTGCACTGTCCATCCAGGGGCGTAGCACCCGCTACGACTGGTACGACCATGGCCGTACCACTTTTCGAAAAGTGTGGTCCGTCCGAAACGTGCAAAACCGTGATAAAAAATCAGGATCCATCGATGGCATGCATATGCGCATGAGACTTTGACCTTTTTCTAGACTCGTAGATCTGTTATCAAGAGTACATGTACTCTTGCTGTTATGCATCTGCAGTCGTAGACCCTACTGAGTACTGTACTCGACTCGACTGCACACTACGAACGACGTTACGTACACGTAGAAGTGTGCCAGAAGTTCCCAGAACGCAGGATTTTGTGTCTTTTTTACAAAATTTTCCCGGGGGAGGTCCCCCCGACCCCCCTCCAACACGGCCTTCGGCCGCAACGACCTTCCGTCGTACCACTTCCAAAACCCCCCCTACGCCCCTGCCATCACTATTATAAATGACATAGTGACACCAGGAATTTTGCCGTGATTCAATCAGGAGTACAAAAGTCCCAGAATTGTGCAACTCCACAATCAGTGCTGTACCGGAAGAATTTCAAGTTGACGTCATTTTTATGATGAAATGCCTTATGTACACGTATTATCAGACTTATTCTGGACCAGGGGTGGGCAAATCCTCATTTCATTATGTACAAACTAGTGTAAGGAAACACGTTGGATGCCTTGCCACCCACTAGAAACATCGTAAATCCCTCGTGCGAGGAGCTTTGCATCATAAAAATGATGCCACCTTGAAATTCAGCCTGGACAGCACAGTATGTGGGAGTTCCATACTCTTGGGGATTACGCGCTATTGCAACAACCTATTTTAGCTGCACACTCGTGTTGTTGTGTCCTCTTATGGGCATTCATGTACAGCGGAACACTGATGTGCAGTATGGACCACTTTGGGACTTGGAACATGCATTGTACTTACTATCTACTGTCTCCATCCCGCACAGACTCTCAGCTGCTTGTCGTGCAGCCGAGAGCCTATCTTCTATCTGCTGTATTTATTATATTTCACCGTCCAATGACAGAAGCTAATGCAAAGGAGGGGGCGTTAGCCAGCCATGGCAAGGGAAGAAAAAGAAAGAAAGAAGGAAAGAAGATAATAATCGGAAGAAAAGAACGCATCAGCGGGGTGAAATTTATCACTATGTTGACCATGGTGGAGAGTGGCGAGATAAGCTAGCGAAAGAGGCGAGTGAGCCTACAATTTGGCATAACATTTAACATGGTCTATGAACTGTCTAATATTGGATATTGTCTTCATTTCCATGGGCAGCTTGAGGCAATACGAATATGCAGAAAAGATAGGAGATTTGGTAAACATAGTTGACAAAGCTCTGGGAAGTACTATGCCATTGCGAGTGTCCCGTGCGAAAGTAAACCAATTATACTTGCTAAGAGGTTCAGGGACAATGTTCATTTATTATTCCCGTAGCTATGCAGAGGACGTTACTTCAGTAACGTCTGGCGCTAGCCAGGGTCCACACAGCTTTAATTTGGTGTTTGTTTGTTTGTTTGTTTGTTTGTGTCACGCCTGGCGCTATCCCGTATCTGTACCGTACTGTACCGTACCAGCAAAGACAGCTGGCTACTATGTGTTTGTTTGTTTGTGCCATCGACATGCCTGGCGCTATCCCCTACCTGTCCCGTACCATCAAGAGTACGGTACCATCAAGATAATGAGTATATATGCGAAGTGTATCGGGGGAATGCATTCAGTGCAGTAACATTTTGTGTGGATTTGTGATAGGCCGAGAACCCACTAGCAGGCTGGCTGGTCCGCCTGTCGACCAGCCCGGGGATCGCATGTAGGCTGATAGCATAATAACTATAACGTATCAGATTGAGTAATTATAACGTATATACAGTCATGTAGATCTATAGCAGGGAGTCATATTATGTAAACGACTCCCAGCTGTATGGGGAGATTTTCTGAAAAAAAATACGAAGTAGGGAGACGAGTGAATGCAATCAGAAAATCTTACCATACAGCAGGGAGTCATATTATGTAAACGACTCCCTGCTGTATGGGGAGATTTTCTTAAAAAAATACGAAGTAGGGAGACGAGTAAATGCAATCAGAATGGATGTTAGTTGCCGTCAGTATAATAATAAGAAGAAGAAGAACGCCCGTGATCGGCAGAGTCAGCGCCGGTCCCAAAAAACGTCAGGACAGACATCCCGTCGACTCCAGAACGCCCGTGATCGGCAGAGTCAGCGCCGGTCCCATAGCTATGCAGAAGGCGTTACTTGTACTTCAGTATCTCATTGAAACGTTTTTGCAATACAATGATGTAGCTAATCAAAGGAAAAAGCATTTCCATCAGTTCTAACAACATGCACGATGAGCTAGGCAACAAAGCATAGCGCAGGGCCCTGAGCTTCCAAGCTCTCTCGTCCAAAGTTTTGTTCCACACTCGCGGCTCCACGATCACACAAGATATGGGCTCCTTGTTAGTTACTATGCAAAACATTTCCTAGGGTGCGCGAGCTCTACTGCAGCCACTGCAGCCACACCACATAGCACCGAAACCCTACATCATCACCAAAGCAAGTGATCTCTTTGCTGCTAATTCAATAATCTCAGCCAAATTTTCGGCCAGGAGCCATCATCAGGATCTTCGGTGATGATGTAGGGCTTTCTGTGTTACTAGTACCGTAAAGTACCGCGAGAGCGCCCCACCTTGATTTTACAACCAGGCAAAGGTTCACACATCGTATGGCAAAGTTCAGCTACTGTAACTTTGCCATACGATGTGTGAACCGCTTACTATACTAGTGTCACATGTAGCATATTCTTGTGTGGAGCTCACATCCGCTTCAAGGTAAACTGAGTGCGGATTCCCTGCACAGCGTGCAATGTGTGTACAAGTAGAAGATCTGTGGCGTATGACCCACAGACAGGACACCACCTCCACAACATGACCACGAAAGGATGTTGTGTTGGGGCACTCTCGCCGTACTTAATGGTACAGGTGGAATCCTTATGATTTGAATCCCAAAATACCAGGGAGAAACTTCTTATTCTGTCCCCACAGGATACCGCAATTCCGCGGACGCGCAATTTTCCGCGCTTTTGGCTGTCATCCGCGTTTTCGAGAGATTTTGCATAAAACCCGCGTTATTCATGGGAATGTACAAGAAAATAGTACATGATGTTAAAAATGTACTACAAATTCGTACCGGTGCATGAGTTTTTACGACAAAGTTGTATAGTTGCATGAAACTGTATGCTAAAGTTGTACAAATGACATAGAATTTGTCCATAATGACCGCATATTTGCCGCATAATGGCCAGTTTTCGCCCGCATAATTTTAGGATTTCGTCCGCGTTATTCTGTGAGGACAGCTTATTGTCAAGACATTCTAATTATCCAAAGATGTACCCACACTTCATCCTGTATGTCAAAATGCTTGCATTGTCATGCACACTTGCACTATGCACCATGGACCCAGATTTTCACGGACACTAGACTGACATGTACTGCAGTGCAGCATACTCCTGCATATTGAACTGACCAGTACATTGCACAGTGTACAGTGAACTTCGAATCACACCTTGCTACAATTATCAGCAAGAATCCTGCACATTTTCTATGTAAGTGGATTTTGTGGGACGGCCTATTGTAAGCGTGCATGTCCAGTTAGAGGTTTGACTTGTCAGACATTGTTATGTGGGAATTATGCTCGATGAGATCTGCATCATGACCGAAAATGCTATGCACAGAGGTGATCCCGAGCCACCGCCATCACCACCCACCCGCATGCTGCTCCTGCTGCTGCTGCTCACTTCCTAAGTAAACAAGGAAAGGAGTGGAAGGGGTGAACTGACTTGACTACTTCAAAGTAGAATAAAGACTCGGACGCACACATGCATGCAATAGAACACACAAGTGGACCCTGGCTGCACCACTGTGCAGCGATCATACGTCACAATGTGATTGCTTGACTGGGTTAGGGGACCCTAAACCTGCAGGGTCCATCTCAAAAAGTTTGCAGAAGCCCACGAAATGAACAAAATTCATTTCGGCTGAACCCCTCCCCTTTCCCTTTAGAACACACATTCATAATCCAGGCTTCACACCAAGCATGCACATGTGGGTTTACCGGGTGTTAGGCCCCTGTACAAGCATGCACATGTGGGTTTACCGGGTGTTAGGCCCCTGTACACTACATAGAAAACCGCTTATTTACTGCGTTCCCGTAAAAGTTGTCATGTCAACTGACGTCACATGGCGGAAAAAGTAGCGCAAACGTGTTTAGCAGATGGCGGACGGGTATACAAGGTTGCTTTTTAGCTTTTATGCGTTCCTGCGCTTTCGGATGCACATGTAGCAACTTCTTTCCTGTTTCCTACTTGTGCTTTCCATTGGAGTTTTTGGCTGCTTCTGAACTTTTCGTACTTGAACTCTTTTTGTTCAGGCCGTAGTGGACTGTACTGTAGTTCTTCTTTGCTGAGCGTGACACGATGCCGAGCGATCCAGCTGTATTTCACAGTACCGTTCCGCAATAGATTGGCGAATATCGTCGGTATCTTGAAACTTGATCATCTGTGATCGATCGTCTTGAAATTTCAAATGTCAAGAACAGGAAATAGACTGCCATCGGACGATTTCAGTAGCTTCTGGAGGTTCTGCAACATCAGTGATCATGGCAGCAACAATTCTACATTGCCGCCATCTCTTTGCCGGAGTCAACGTGAGGTTCATGGGCATGTGTACAACATGAAGGACACAGCTAGTACAGACCGAAGTCCAAGACGACAAACAGAAAGCAGTCGTTCTGCGAAGAGCATTTTTCATACCGTGTCTTTTGCATTTTCAGTCATTTTCTTTCAGGCAATGAACAAGTGAAAAGCAGATCCCCTGTCTCAGTGTGCAACTGCACTTGAACAAGCTTGTGCATACACAGCAGTGTATGCACAAGCTTGTTCAAGTGCAGCAGTGTATGTACAGGCTGGTGCATGGTTTACATGTAGATAGTGTGCAAGGGGCCTTAGCCTTAGCGACCGTAGGGAACGGACATGATAATTTACTTTTTTTACTTTTATGCATGTGTGTATGCACATTCATGAAGCCTGCTTTGTAATTTTTGACTAGTCAACGACCCAATGTAGGGTCTAACCTTGTTTCAAGCATTTCTGATTTGACTGTCCCAACATTTGAGCATAGCCGTTTGGCCTCCTGTGTGTGTGTTTATCTCATCATTACATCATTACAGCGATGACAGTGTCAAGTCTCCTGTTTGTGTTTATCTCATCATTACATCATTACAGCGATGACAGTGTCAAGTCTCCTGTGTGTGTTTATCTCATCATTACATCATTACAGCGATGACAGTGTCAAGGGAGGATGCACACATTATATTGTGAACTCTGTTAATGGAAGATACTTTGCAGGGGAAGTGTATTTTCCCTCTCTACCAGCTGTTATAGAGCACTATCAGCAGAATACTTTAGGACGATGTGCACTGGGATCTCATGTAAGTATGACTGTATGACTGTGTAGCTATATGATATGCGTGTATGCACACTATTATACTTACCATAGTGCAGCGCTGTTCCTTGAAATCCGATCAAAGGAGTCAGCTTTGCGCCCTGCATAAGAGAAATCCCAGTGTTGGCAGGTCTAGGGCTGCGCAGTGCGTACTTGACACACACGGTCAGATTTCATTGAGCAGCACTGTGCATTAAGGTATATAAGTAGCTCAATAGGAAAAACCTTGGTCCGAAGATTGTCCAGTTTTACTTTTTCTACACTGTTAGATTTGTTCTAGAATATTCCGGTCTTTCTTTTGTTTTGATAGTTGTAGTCCAGTGCATTAGTGCGGGTCATGCTTGGTAGGTCGACTGAGACTCATTCATGGTTGTTACCATGGTTACATGCATTGTATGCTATAGCCTAGCCGTAACTGACCACTGTTACGGATGTACAATCCAGGTCAGTGTTTGACCTTTCTATGCCCTCCCTTATGCATTCACATGTTATCACCATTTATGTCTGAGTGTGTAACCTCAGCACACTCTCTATGTGCATCGTACCATATCCGAGCATGAATAATAATTATTAATTAATCTACGCACTGTCCTGCCGTTCTCGTTTTCTATATCTTCCGTTGTTCTCATGTTCTTGAGGTTAGTTGATTTAGTTACAGTCTTCGTACTTTTCGTAATGTAGGTTCTTTACTGATTGCTGCAGTGCATTTAGTTGGAACATACACCTTCCTACATGTGTACTGAGAGGAAAAAACATTCCTTGGGGGGGGGGGGGGGTAATTGGGCTAAATCTTGCCGTACGGTGCCTAGAAAAATAAACGATTTTGAGGAGTTTTTAGCATACATCTCACAAAGGAAATATTTTCATTAGAATGCTTTATTGAGTCTTTCTTGATGCTCTCCTTCGTCCAGGGATGTCCCTGCGATGGCTGGAAGTGGGTGAAAACTTGAAAAGAAGGTGCCCAAAATTGTCCCGAAGTGGCGAGTGACATCACGCCGGACTTGACCTCCATGCGTACATTCGTCATCAAAAACGAAGTTTCACCCACTTCCAGTCATCCCAGAGAAAAAACGAATAACATCATCGTCATCAGGAGCCAAAGAAATACAAGATAAGACAAAGAAAAAATTTGGTGACAGTTCCCCTTTAAACTTACAAGTACTTTACTACACATACTTTAAAGGGGAAGTTAAGGCAAAAATTAAAATTTCACCAGTTGTAGTCTTCGGGGTGCTGAGTCGAATGGTCGTGGTCCGAGGAAGCTGAGACGCTCCCTTCCTACTTGAATCCCAATCGAACTCGCGCACTTCCACCGAAACTGGGTGACTGCGCCCTACTAGATGGGGATTTGTATGCAAAATGTCACTAAAAGCGCCATTTCGTTCTTATAAAAGCACGGATGACCGCGATTGGCCCATATGTTGTACTCTTTTGGACGCTGAGTCGACTGGTTTTGGTCCGAAAAGGCTGCGATGCGGCGTTCCTCCTTTATTCCCAATCGAACATGGTTGAACAAGTGGTCACGTGCTCCTGGGTGCCCAAATCACCTGGTCACCACGCCAGCAGGCGACAACTTTCACACCAAGGTTCAACTCGAGTGACAGGACTGCACCCAAAAAAGGTCAAACAGGCTAGTAGGTTGTACCCTGCAGGCACGGTGACCAGCTGACTGGTGTACGCAGGAGCACGTGACCGCTTGTTCAACCATGTTCGATTGGGAATAAAGGAGGAACGCTGCATCGCAGCCTTTTCGGACCAAAACCAATCGACTCAGCGTCCAAAAGACTACAACATATGGGCCAATCGCGGTCATCCGTGCTTTTATAAGAACGAAATGGCGCTTTTAGTGACATTTTGCATACAAATCCCCATCTAGTAGGGCGCAGTCACCCAGTTTCGGTGGAAGTGCGCGAGTTCGATTGGGATTCAAGTAGGAAGGGAGCGTCTCAGCTTCCTCGGACCAAGACCATTCGACTCAGCACCCCGAAGACTACAACTGGTGAAATTTTAATTTTTGCCTTAACTTCCCCTTTAACACTGCATAGCATCTTTAACACGGGGTGCACATCCTCAAGTGAGCTGTCAGTTGAACAGAGAACACGTAACTTGTGCTCAATGATATACCGGCTACATGATTCCTGAATCCATCATTACTCCATGATCTTGCCTGGGTAGTTACTGGTCACCATGGTCACTATAATAGTCAGTTGTCACCATGGTCACTAGTCAGTGGTTACCATGCTTACTGAGTGTGTATTTGCCACACAAATAGCACTAAGAATACTTGGCCACACGTGCAGTCAGTGAGGGCAATACAAATCTATTTTGCATTCTTGTGACAGTGTTTATGGAGTCTTGACAGTCCGTGTTGCTAATTATAGCAGGTGCTTTGCACCGTTCTTTCACGAGACTTTGAACCAGAATGTCAGGATATCAGACCATTGGAAAAATTATTCTAACTAGTTTCCGTACAACACTCATCAGGAACCACCGTTGTACTAAAGAACGTTGTGCTATCAGACCATTGCGAAAAGAGGGTATAATTCGATTGTATCATTGTGGCGGTAGTCCTGTGTGGGTACCAACAAGACCAACTGCTGGACTCGTTCAGCAATTTGCTACTACCGTAAAGTACCGCCAGAGTGCCCCGTCTCGCGAGAGCGCCCCACCTTGATTTTACAGCCAGGGAAAGGAAAATCGTATGGCAGAGTGAAACGAAGTGGGTACGATGTGAGACCCTTACACTTACTAAGGGCACACTTGGCAGGTTTTGTGTAGAGCTTGTGTCTACTCGAAGGTACGGATTGGCTCCAAAATGTGGAATATGTGTACAAGCCTACACGGTTCGTGTCGTATGACCTACAGACAGCAGACCACCTCCACAATACGACTACGAAAGGATGAGATGGTGGGGCGCTCTGGCGGTACTTTACGGTACATGTACATGTGCTTCAAAGCAGTGCATGATGTCACATGTGCTCATGTGTAGAAGACCTACCCGATTTCTGGGTAATAGGGAAGTTGACATACTAGTACACCGATGTGATTTGTTCTGTTCATTTGATCAGGTACCCACCTCAAGACCTCCAATTCCTGTCAAGCCAGATTCTATAGGAGAACAATCAACACTAGACAAGCCCGCCACAAACAAGGTCAGAAGAGCTCTGAAATAAAGGTGAAATCAACCCTTTGCCAGCCAGTCCATTTTAAAATCTGTTACTATTTGTATCTTTCACACAAGTATACACCACTACCCCCAAAAAACACCCTGAGGAAACTACATGTATTTGTATCTGCATGAAAAGCGCCCATGTCCAAAGTTGTTGTCACTCTTTTAAATGTGATGGACTTCACACTATCCCCTGGCCATAGTAGAATATTATGACATTCAACATTGTCATACATGCTATGGTGGCACTCCTATAGATGCGGAAAATTCAGTTTGACTGAGTCTTACACGACCCGTAACATGCATTCCCGAAGCTAAGCAAACGGCTTGAAGTACATTCTGTGTGTGTGCGTCTGTGTGTCTGTCTGTGTGTCTGTCTGTCTGCCTGTCTGTCTGTGTCTGTGTCTGTGTGTCTTCGAACCGGCACAAACAACGTTACTGATCAGTGACCGTGTAAGCACCCAACAGTTGTAGGTGACTTAGCAGAAGTGTGGCAGCGGTGGTGGCAGCGGTGGTGGCAGCGGTGGTGGTGGTGGTGGTGGTGGTGGTGGTGGTGGTGGCTCGTCATACATACTACATAACTGATCACCAGCAGGCACGGTCCGCATATCAGAAGCGTATGTCACGTGTAAAGACTCCTGGCATGTTACACGTTCGTCAAATTACGTAACAATCATGTCTGTACCCGTCATCTGTTTGTGATGGTTGCTCGAACGTTTCAGGCTATACCCATCTTCAGGAATTCTGACAATAAAGTGGTACTTGTGTCAACAGTCCCTCACCCCGAGAGTGTGCAGCTCAAAGAGTCCCTCACCCCGAGAGTGTGCAGCTCTGTTCTCTGAACTACGGGTGTTCTGCATGGCATGCTGCCTTCGTTACATAGTCGAATGAGAATCAAGCTGACTTAATTTGAGTTTTCCTACAGTTTAACTGTCAGGCACATTGAATTCACCGGTGCTGCATTAGTTTCAAAGGCAATGCCTGTGCACAACATACCACGTACAAAACGATCCTTAAGTAGTCCCCGAGAAAAGCAAACTTGGAAGCCGGAAACCGTAGCAGACCAATAATGACGCAATGACCCAGCTGATTTCCGAGTTCCTGGTTACGTATTGTGGGCAGCAAGCCATGCCAGATCCCATATGCAGAGTTGCATGCTCTTTGGAGGGGGGGGGGGGGAGTCTTGGCGTTATGATGTCTTGCTCAGATGTACTCGTACAATACGTGTCATGTATTTCATCATGTCCGAGCATGGAAATTGTATACATACAGATCATCAGGGTCCCAGCATGAAACTCTCAAAGCAGTCGACTACGGAAGAAGCAATTGCCATATATGGGCAATTGGGCATAGACATCGCGGGCTTCAGCGACAATGCCCCACTCACCATGGAGAGCAATATTGCCCCCAGAAGCGCCGGTGGACGGCTCTGTACGTTTGCATATCCGCCGCGCAGCGCTGTTGTCATCCAAGTACTGATATGCGGAAAGTTGATGTCCTAAATTTCCCACTCCTTGTCAATCACTCTCCATATCCCTCCCACCCGACATCATCAGATTCATCCTTGCATATCGCATTGAATTTGTCTTCAGCTGCTGGAGATCCTTATACTAGTATTAGCAGGACATTAGTGTTCAGCTCATCAAATGTTTAAAAAATTCATCTACGTGCACACGACAAGGAAAGCCCGACCCCGTGAATAGAAGCTCTCTATCTATCTATCTCCCTCTCTCTCTCTCTCTCTCACTCACTCTTCTCTCTCTCTCTCTCTCTCTCTCTCTCTCTCTCTCTCTCTCTCTCTCTCTCTCTCTCTCTCTCTCTCTCTCTCTCTCTCTCTCTCTCTCTCTCTCTCTCTTGTCTGCCTGTGCTGCCAGCATAGCCAGAGCCTTTGACCGAAGGCTCTCTTGTCTATCTGGCAGTGCTGGAAGAAGGAATGTTCATATTAGAACATTCTAGAATGTTGTTGAGTCACCTCCATCATTACACTGCGCTCTTTACCCGGCTAGACCCTCCTTCACCCAATCATCACCACTGCGAGGACACTTCCGGTGACGATATTGATAACTCCTTCAGACAGCTGTTTCGCTAATACATAGGTCATCAGTGACGGTAGATGTTGAATGATATCAGTGACGGTAGATGTTGAATGATATCAGTGACGGTAGATGTTGAATGATATCAGCGAAGGTAGATGTTGAATGATATCAGTGACGGTAGATGTTGAATGATATCAGTGACGGTAGATGTTGAATGATATCAGTGAAGGTAGATGTTGAATGATTAAAAATATAAACCAAACTGCTATTATATGGGGTTTTCACATACAAAACTGGCATAGCTGAGGTGATAATGCGGGAACAGGAAAGTGAATGTTTGAAGGAAAAACCCTCAGAACCTTAGACAGCTGATTGTTATAATGATTGCCTTAGCATGCATGAAATAGCTACCTGCCTTCTCCTAGGATTGCGTCTAACTACTTCTTTGCCTGTTTTGCTGTTCTGCCTATTATCTGTTAGGTACCCGTCCCAAGACCCCCAGCTCCTATGAAACCAGATTTCTGTGGAGAGCAATCATCGAGTGAAAAGTCTGCCAGTAGCAAGGTTAGCATTTTGATCATTTGCCTTTTTTGTGAGGGAGAATAAGATCAGCTCTGTTTACAGCACACGCATTTATGTGATTCTGTGAACACTGGTTTTAACGGTCCTTCGGATTCTGGCAATATAATTAAGGTAATTGTGTGTGTAGAATTAGGGTGCCTCTCTTTTAGCACACCAAGTTCAAGAGCCAATGCATGATTCAAGTTTGTTGTTTTCTAACAGTTTGTTCCAACACTGATTCAATTCTTGTTTCTTGGTGGTGGTTGTGTTGGTTGTGGTGCTGGTGCTGGTGGTTGTGTTGCAATGCTATTCAACTTCTCTAACTCTGTACATACAGTTCAGTTCAAGCTCTCTGTCTCTGGATAGTGGCTCATCTTCAAGTGCAGGAGCCTCAATAGTTGGTAGTTACCCAGAATCCACTGCAATGACATGTATAGACGAGGGGAATTTAGTTGGACACCATCGTCTACCATTTACTCCTGAGGAGCCAGCGCAAGCCATCGCTGTATTTGCACGGACGGTGAATGCTTACGACCCAACATCCTTAGTATTTGAAGTAAGTGCCAATGACGAGGAAGAAAAGCAAGCCAACCATTCGGGTTTTGTTCCCATTGTGCTAGCTATCAGGTCCATGAATCAAAACGTCTATTTCGATTTGTTTCATTTCTTTAAAAACTGTGGTTTTGTCAAGTTAGACAGAGGGAGAAGTTTTGTGACTACCGTCTGGAGCACGCGCTGCCCATGTCAAGTATTGTGCTCGGTGAGCACGCGCTGCCGGCCATGTCAAGTATTGTGCTCGGTGCGCTGCCGGCCATGTCAAGTATTGTGCTCGGTGCGCTGCCGGCCATGTCAAGTATTGTGCTCGGTGCGCTGCCCATGTCAAGTATTGTGCTCGGTGCGCTGCCCATGTCAAGTATTGTGCTCGGTGCGCTGCCCATGTCAAGTATTGTGCTCGGTGCGCTGCCGGCCATGTCAAGTATTGTGCTCGGTGCGCTGCCGGCCATGTCAAGTATTGTGCTCGGTGCGCTGCCGGCCATGTCAAGTATTGTGCTCGGTGCGCTGCCGGCCATGTCAAGTATTGTGCTCGGTGAGCACACTTTACGGTTGGTGTGAGACCCCCCGTTCAGCAGCTGTGTTTTCCTGTGTTTTTCCACATCTGTATGAATGCAACCACCCTCTGTGGATCATGGTGCAGGGGCAGCTCCTAAAGTGGTGGGAGGTGAGCAGATCAGACACACCACACAGTGGTCAAATACAGAAAATCCCATCCTCTGCATCCATGTTGTCCTCGTGCCAGGCCACGAGTTCCCAATTGCCTGTGGGCCTCAGCATGGCTAGAAAATTCCTTTCGCTTATACTGTAGACAGCTAATTTTAGCGAAAGGAGTGTTTTCGCTTCAATCGAAAATTTACATGTACAGTACGGTCCTACATAAACCATCTAATTTTTTACCCTGAACCTCGGGTCGCTAAAAAATTTCATCACGAATTGATCCTGATTCAGGTAACGCTAAAAATTGTGCCTGCTAAAATTAGCCGTCTTACAGTAAGCAGGACTTGAACGTGGTACATTCTGTTTCTCGTCCGTGGTCAACTCTGCAAGAAAGTACCACTCCCGAATCCCTACTCAATACACAGTGTGTTGCCGAGAATTCGTTCACCCGTTTTTGGTGAGCTTGAGTAGGCCAATGAAGCCTGTGCTCCGAGAACACTACAACCATATACCACTATCCCAGCCCGAACATCCCTAGGGATACTAACTTGCAGTGACGCACTGTTTCCAGTGCAACAAACACACCGTGCGCTTGAGTCTTGTCTCAGCAGCCCACATTATTACAGTATTGTTTCACAGATTGTAGCTCATCATTAGTTGGCGTGAGTCCATATCAGGACGGATGTAAATGTACTGCACTGTATCTTTCTTTCAATGGCAAATAGGATTCTGGCTAATGGCAGTAATGGCAGTAATGGCCACAACTAAAATTGCGCTGCTTTTCAGTGTGCTTTAAATTATTTTCTTCAATGGTCCGGTCATGCTGATGTAGAAGTTTTCAGTTCTGTGAATAGAAGGGCCATTGGAATTGACTTCAGCCTAGTGCCGTAGTGGAGCCTAGTGGATCGCAGCCCAATTAGAGTTTTCAGGACAGTGAATACCGGTAGCTAATAGCAGCCTGATATGACCTTTGGCCGATAGCAAGAAGCATGCAACCGTATTACAGTGTATCTATCAGTTCAGGGAAATTACCCGTACATACACCTATCATGCCAGAGATGGATGTATTCACAATCATGCCCTCAAGCTTGTGCCGGTTCGAGTTTGTTAGCGAGTTTGTGATCAAACTCGTTCAAGCTCAAGAATTCAAGTTCACTTCATCCTGAAGGACGGTTCACAATACAGTCAGACATGCTCGCATAACCGCACACATCCGTTTTCCACAAAATATCCGGATAGGCGAGGGAACCGGATAATCGAACACACATACTGTATGGATGCATGACATATGCTGTAAATCGGTAACCAACGATTTTCTTCCGGATGGCGAGGGATCCGGATAAAAGAGGACCGGATAAGCGAGATCTGACTGTACCCCCTTTCTGGGACGCGCTGTGACCATGACAAGCGATTCACACACTTTTTTTATTCTGTGACATTCCTATCCAGTGCCCAGTGCCCAGTGCATGCAGCATGTGCACTGCTTCCTACAGCTCTAGACAGTGGAACTTGATTGAATCATTGGCATGCAAGCATGTGCACTGCTTCCTACAGCTCTAGACAGTGGAACTTGATTGAATCATTGATTGAATCATTGATTGAATCATTGATTGAATCATTGATTGAATCATTGGCATGCAAGCATGTGCACTGCTTCCTACAGCTCTAGACAGTGGAACTTGATTGAATCATTGATTGAATCATTGATTGAATCATTGATTGAATCATTGATTGAATCATTGATTGAATCATTGGCATGCAAGCATGGCAATAGGCTTGACAGTCTATTCTTTTACACCCATCCACATTTCCATATGGAGCAGTTATTCCTACTGTTCGTGTGTACAAGTGTGGGTACGCACGCGTGTGTGTGTGTGTGCGTGGGGGGGGGGGGTCTATTCTTTGTAAACATAGAGTAGCATACGGTAAACCTGGTTTAAGTGACCACCCCACGGTGCAAGAAAAAGCGGTCGTTAAAGCTAGGTGGTCTTTAGAACCAGGTCCCACAGTGTCTGTGCAGAACTGTCGGTGCATGGAAAAAGCGGTGGTTAAAGAGCAGGACTGGTGGTCGCTAAACCCAGAGCCTGCAGAGGTCGCTTACACCAGGTTTTACTGTACCCCCATTCAGCGGCATTGATCCAAGCTCCATGACTGTCTTTTTCTCTCCAGATTGGTGATCGGATTATTATTCGAGAACAGAAGCCAAGCGGAACATGGATTGGCGAATGCAATGGTCTCGTGGGGCATTTCCCTTTCACAGCTGTTCAACTTTGCAGGCAATAGTAGTGCAGTGAATGTAGTGAGTATAGTGTGACTGCCCCGCGGCACCGTGCCATTAGTTTTATTATAAACGGCCCACGCTCCTGACTAGTAGATTCATACTGGATGTTCAACTATGGAGCACATCATACTTTGCCATGCGGCACCTTTTTCTGAAAATATTTCTGTGTTCTGTTGCTACTAGTAATTCAATTTGCTATGCCGAATCATCTAGCGTAAGCACATTATCCATAGGGTCGTTCCTTTTTCATCTACTACTAGTACATGTACAGTATAGGTTTCAGTAAAAACTTCTTCTTTCGATAGATGTGTTCGTTTTCCTCTTCCCCAAACGGTAGACTCTACTGTACTCTACCTGCTCTACCAGGTTTGCGGCTGGTAGAAGCCGGTAGAAGTTGGTAGAGGTACTGTACAGGCAGAAATTTAGTCGGTCTATAATTTCGTCCAACTCCATAGAAAGGGAGTTCGTCTGGTTGCCTGCAGGGTACAACCTACTAGCCTGTTTGACCTTTTTTGGGTGCAGTCCTGTCACTCGAGTTGAACCTTGGTGTGAAAGTTGTCGCCTGCTGGCGTGGTGACCAGGTGATTTTGGCACCCAGGAGCACGTGACCGCTTGTTCAACCATGTTCGATTGGGAATAAAGGAGGAACGCTGCATCGCAGCCTTTTCGGACCAAAACCAGTCGACTCACAGCGTCCAAAAGACTACAACATATGGGCCAATCGCGGTCATCCGTGCTTTTATAAGAACGAAATGGCGCTTTTAGTGACATTTTGCATACAAATCCCCATCTAGTAGGGCGCAGTCACCCAGTTTCGGTGGAAGTGCGCGAGTTCGATTGGGATTCAAGTAGGAAGGGAGCGTCTCAGCTTTCTCGGACCAAGACCATTCGACTCAGCACCCCGAAGACTACAACTGGTGAAATTTTAATGTTTGCCTTAACTTCCCCTTTAAAAAGCTGGACCAATCGATGATACTTATGACTTGGGGCTCCCCGCGTGCTAGTGTGTACTTCGAAGTATGTGAAGTGTGTGGGTTACCCTGGTTACAGTGAGGGCTGCACCCCACCCGCGTGTGTGAATTCACAGGAAGTGTGAGTTACGAAGTCTGAAGAAAATGTTGAACGGTCTGCTGGGATGACGACTACACCATAGCTCAGTGGTTAGAGCATCGCTGGCTACAAGCGAGGGTCCCTGGTTCGAGTCCTGGTGGTGACAGTCAATTTTTTCTTCAGACTTTTCCCGTATCAATTGTGGCAAGTGGAAGTGCTATGATCCTTCATGCCAGTTGTGTACAAAAATGGGGATGATCCCACTTTGGAAAGTTCCTTGAAGAATGTCCTACTTTCATCATACACTGTATTCTCAGTACTGTATGAGGCAGAAAATTTCGTTGGTCAATAATTTCATCCAACTCCAAAGAAAGGGAGTTCGTCCTGTTGAAAATTTAGTCCATGGATCATAAGAGTGTATTGAAACTTGAAAGGCTGGACAAATCGACATTAGTCCGGCATTTAATTAATTTTTTTAATGCAGGCAGGCATAGTGGGATGGTCTAAGACCATGATTGAGAAACAGAGGGTACCAGGTTTAAGTCCTGCTTGGAAGCAGAAGGAATTTTTCCAGCCGTGCTGCGACCCACAGTTAATTGGGAACTCGTGGCCTGGCACGAGGGTAACATGGATGCAGCTCATGATGGGATTTCGGTCTTTGACCACTTGGTGGTGGGTCTGATCTACTCACCTCCCACCGTTTAGGCGTTGTTGCATCTGCGCCTTTGGTCCTAGAGGGTGGTGGCGTTCCCACGGCGGATGCGGAAAACTCGGCTTCCAGCCGAGTCTCACGCGAACCGTGAAATTTATTTATTTTATTTTATTAATTTTAATTAGGGCTGAAACGATTATACCGAATAATCGAGTACTCGTTTGATAACTCTAACGATCGAGCAATCGTTTAGATTACCGATCACGATTATTTTGCGTGTTTTAAATTTGTGCCCAGAAAGTACTGTAAACCCTCGTTTTGTGAAGTTTGAATCAGTTTCCGCTGGGAGTATGCAGTTGCCAGGGGTATGGTTCATGTTCTGAGGTTAAATTGACTTCAAAACTGCCATGTTTCGGAGCTACCCTTTCACTAATGCAGATTTGTTGGTATTATGAAGGCATAGTTTGTGGAAACAGAGTAATGTTTGCACAGAATTATGACTCTATTTGCTAAAGATTATAATCGATTACTCGATCGTTAAGCTAAAGAGTAATTGATACGTGAAAATCCACGATCATTTCAGCCCTAATTTTAATAGTCCAAAAGCTCCTTGGACGAAAAAGACGAAATTAAATTATTGGAGCCGCTGACAGGTGAGAGGATGACGCTACGGTCGGCTTCAACCGAAGACAACGCCCGCCTGGACATAGGCGCCAGTGGAGTCTGGGGAGGTCGGTACGAGCGTTCGTACTTTGATGTCCGGGTTTTAAACTCCCACGCCCCCACCAACGCCAAGTTTGCCTTGCCAGCTGCGTACAAGTGACATGAGCAGGAGAAGTGTCGCCGCTACGAGGAACGAATTACCAATTTCGAGCACGCCCCTGCTCACCTGTTGTCCTGTCCTGCACTGGAGGGTATGGTAAAGCTGCGACGGCACTCTATGCTCGGCTGGCATCGATGCTCGCCGACAAGAAGCAGGAGCCGTACTCTGCCACAATTTCGTACATCCGATGCAAGCTCAGCTTCACCCTCATCCGTACTGCTGTTGCCAGTCTGCGAGGCAGGCCATCGGCACCGAGTATCCTCAGATGCAAATGACTTGGCCCGATTTGCGGTTGCCATGAGCAGCATCGTTTAAAGGTTCTTATGAGAGTCCTTAAAATCGGCATTTAGTAATAGACTGTGTTCACAGCCATGGCATTTCTAACTCCCTCCCGAGGCTCCGTATTACTATTAGACTGTTTTCACAGCCATTTTTGCTATTTTTTCTTCTTCCTGTACTGTTGAGGTTGCGCTAGTGTTTTTCAGCGTTGTCGTGTGCACGCTCTTATCAAAATCTGTGGAAGCCTATTCTTTTGAAAACGTTTTTCAATCGTTGTCGTGTAAACGAGGCCTGAGACAGAAAAAAAAGAAGAAAAGAAAGTATCACTTCAATGATTGCCAGTAGATGAAAATTAACTTTTTCAACTGCGTTGTATGCTGTGAAAACCAGTGGTGTGCACGGGTAGTCGGGTACCCGTGAGGACCTCGGGTAGACGGGTACCGAATCGTACCCGAAAACCCGAAGTCGCAGATGACATGTAGAAAGAGTAGAGAGAGAGAGGTCTACCATGGTCTACAGTGCACATGTGCAAATAATTCACGCATGTCTACCCAGTGTGTAAGGGAAGGGGCCGGTGTGCATTGTGGTCTTACCATGGGAACATTACCCGATCGGGCACCCGTGCTACCCGTGGAAAACTACCCGGACCCGATACCCGAAGAAAATGCTACCCGACTCAGCCCTAGTGAAAACTGTGGATTTGTAACTAGTGGCTGTGTCACAATGTGGAATCGGGTAGGTATAGCATAGCACCGCAGTGCGCGGGGTTTTCGTTTTCACAGATTGTATACCACACTGCTCTTCATAATTTATCGTCTCTAGTGATGGGAAGATGGCCCAACTTCATCCAAAGGCCCTATGGCAGCAAATCACTGGCCTGCTCGCGCGCTCGTCCATTCAGGGGCTGATTTTACAGATTTTACACAACATTCTAATGCACCCATCAAAACATACCGAAACGGCAGGGAAAAGGAAATTATATGCACCAAAGTTGCTGGTCAATGTTGATCTACGATAAACTCGCTGTCTTTTGCCGCCACTTATGTTTCGATACAGCCATCCAGACCAGCGAAACAGCTAGAACAAAAAGCAAATTTTACACATTTTGTTAAAGAAATGACACATTGTTACAAACCACAAGTTCTGAAGTGTCAAAGGTCTTCTGGCTTATGACTGATGATACCAAGAGTACATAACCCCAGGGGTTATGTACTCTTGATGATACACATGTACGCCATAATTATGGTATGCGCTGACACACACTGTCTAAAAAAGCTAGGAATTTGGAAAGCAGCAGTATTTCGAATATAAGGCCGTGGCTTTAAGGCTCTGACATTGACCCCACCAGTCAAAGTGGCTGGCATAAACGCTGGTACGCGCCTGATACGACGGTCATTACGTGCTGAAAATTTGTTGGAATTTCCATACGCAAGACGACTCCGTACATGCACCAGGCCAGTTGTGAATACAGCTTGACACTCACAATCACACATGTGCCGCTGACAAACACAAACGGCAAGCCTGGAAAAGAGGTTGGAGGTTATGTACTCTTTGATATTAGAGAGGTTCCGCACTACGTAAAGTTGAGCAACTTTACGTTGGTGGGCAAGAAAAACCTGTGAATTCGAGAGTTTGCACTCCACTTACGGAAAGTTGTCTACGGAGAGTACGTGGATATGGATAGGGCTCTGATAACGTAGCTGGATTGAGGTACAAATTTATGACTCTCCCCATGTCAATCTGGGCGTACACCCTGTACACTGCCGCGTTCTGAGTTGCCAAGGGCAGCTACGTGATTTGAAAACTCCGTATGGCGCATGCAGTTTACGCAAGACTTTTTGTAGATCGACGTTTTTTACTTACGTTATGCGGAACCTCTCTAATCTCTGCGTGAAATGTAAGAACACGACGTGCACTTGTCTTTAGACGTCGAGCTGCTCTGAAATCCCAAAACGAAAGGCGGACATTACCCACACTCGAGATCACCCAAAGGATAAAACGATTCAAAATCAAAGAAGCGGTTGGGGATCGTCTGAAGCATATTCAAGCGAGGTACAGACGGGCTTGATGACTGATCAAAGCCCTCCGGCTGGTCCCTTGGGCTTTGATCAGCCTTCAAGCCCTCCGTACCTCGCTTGATTATATACATAAGACACACGGGTATCCCAATTGCTGCCTCAAAACCAATACATGTACCACCCTTTTAAAAGCCTGTGACATTCCTAGCATTTCAAGCTGGGCTCCACAAACTTCCCCAGCCAACCCTCTTCAATTTCAAGTTGGCTACAACGAAGAGTGCATGACATGTACACAAACAAGAGTGTGCACTACAGTAATCTTGGGTAATCGCGTGTAACTCCCTGATCACAAGTTTGTTCTTCACATAGTGCGGGATGAAATCACCGCAACACCAAACACCCGGATCCACGCATAAAATACATCAGCCAGATGACCAAAATAGAACCGGTTTTTATTAGTCCATATGTAAAGTTCACTTGAGCT